CACTAGTATTTATTTATAGCACTAATTTTTAAAAATGAATTCTGAAACACTTCTGCCCTGTATTTAGCTAATACTTGTTTTTACAACTTGTGAAGGCACTTGTATGTAAATAACCTGTATAGGAAATTGTGTTCTTTTCTCATGTGTCCTTTTCTCTGTGTAATTTATTTCCTTCTCCATTACTCAGAGGACAAGTAGGGATGAAAAGAATAAATCAGAATTATCATTCTTGCAAAATAATAGGCTGAAAAAGCATTGTCTCTCAGTAATTTCCATATAGGGACAGAACTTTGTAGTGTAAGAAATTGGATGGGAACCATAATAACTTTCAATTACATGAGCCTTGGTATTTTTAGCTAGAATGAGAGGACAAGTGATGAATTCGAGAGATGTAGAGCCCAATGCACGACCATTTGTGCTGCAACTCGCACCTGTTAGGACCAAGAGAGAACAATATTCTGCTAATAAGAACAACAGAAGTTTCTACAGCTAGAACAGATTTCACGTGATCCTCAGAGGTATAACGACAGTTTTAAAGTCCCTCCAAAGGCAGTCATGTCTACAGCTAGGCCAGTGCCTATGTGGGACAGCAGGTGATACAAAGCTGGGAAGTTGTTTCTGAGAACTGCTAGTGCTAGTACATGATGGAGAGTGGATGGCTTAGGACACTAATTAGCTGATTGTAGAGCCCCAAGCCAGACACTTAGAAAATTCTGGCATGGTGGAGCCCCAAAACACCATGGGCATTACTGTTCATGCTGCAGCAGCATTTGGAGACGAGAACTGCTTCAAGATGGGCACAGTCCAAAAAAAAAAAAAAAAAAGCGCAGTTGTTGCTCTGCCAAACGTCTCCAGTCCTGATACAGTTTGCCCAGATGAAAGAATGACACTTGCTACTTGAGTTTAGTTCTAAGTGTTTTATGTGCCACTGAGGCTAAGGAATAAATATCAACAGTCTACACTTCTCTTCCCTTTGCTTTAGTCACCAGTTGTCTAAAACCAAGTGAAGAGAGAATAACCTGGAAGTTTCTGCAGATTTAATGGAGCTTTCTAAACTTGCTCTCAAATCTGAGGTGCCTTCTGGACCAAGCATAATTTTTCTTGTGTCATCACCCCCCCATCTCAAAAAAGCTCTTGAAAATCCACAGTTTATTGTATGTACTGCCCCCAAAAAGCTGCTGTCAAGTTTATTTTGAAAACATCAGGTATGCATTCTAACCATAGGCTAGCTTTCCACAGGAAGAAATGAAAACATCTCATATGAGCCTGCAACTTCAGTAAAAGCGACTATTTAGCAGAAACTGCTATTGGCAACTGATGCAGACGTGATACTGGATATGACAGATCATTGTCCACACCTGAATGATTGTTTCTCATGGCTCTTAGTCCCACAAATGTATCACTGTTTGGACTGCCAAAATGAACTAAAAAGGATGCGTTTACAATTACTTTTGAAATCTTCATTGAGTATGATTCCACTGTTATGTTTCCTTGTACTATAGCTGTGCCAGAGACAAGTATGAAAACGTGAAGTGTCAGAACACAGGTACTGTCTGTACTTTCTTGTCTACAGGGAGACATCCAGACTTACAGCTAATTTCACAGTTTATCTGGAAAACACTTCAGAATTTTTTATTCTTGTCCCTCTAGCCTCGTATCTTATCTTTGCCAGTGCCTGGCACAGGATGCTTAAGGAAGAGTATGAGATTCTTTCCATAGTTTGTTCATAGAGATTTTGTTAATCAGCATCCCCCAGATGCGCTGCAAGAAGTAATGCAAAACTGGCCGTACTGAACCAGACCAGAAGGTGCAGCTCTTGCTGTGCACCAGCAATGATCACACAGACACAAGTATGCTGGCTGGCAAATATATAACACGTCACCTGTCAGTCTTAAGTACTCAGCAGGATCAGATCTCTTATCTTTATATCCAAATAATCTGTGACTGTTTTTCATCTTAAGTTTTAGTATCCAGGGTATCTGCTAGCAAGGAACTCTACAGTTTAGCAATGCAGTCCATAAAGCATATTCTTCCCTTCCATAGGTCCTGTTCCTCGTACAGAAGGGGCAGGGAGCAACCTCCAAATTCATCATTGTTGTGGTGTTTATGAACAGCAGAGCGTGTGGATCAGGTACTAGTGGGCTGTTGCCAGGAAGTAAGGATACGCTCACATTTTGCATTTTTACAAGAATAAATCAATTGGTCAAAATCAGTTTTCAAAGCTGTTTTGGGTTTGTGTGGTGGGCTTTTGAGGGCAGGGGAGGGGCTGCAGGGGTGGCTGCTGTGAGAAGCTGCTAGAAGCTTCCCCAGCTCCAAGTTGGACCTGCCGCTGGCCAAGGCCGAGCCCATCAGCAACACGGTAGCACCTCAGGGAAAACAGGTTTAAGAAGGGGAAAAAAAAGAAAACCCACCTGCTGGAAAACCTGCAGTGGACAGAGGAGTGGGATGCGAGAGAAACCTCTCTGCAGACACTGAGGTCAGTGAGGAAGGTGGGTGAGGAGGGGATGTCCCTGCAGCTCACAGTGAGGCGGCAGGCTGCCCCCCCCAGCCCACAAAGGGGAGCGGGGGAGCAGATGCCCACCTGCAGCCTGGGGAGAGAGGAGCCCACGCCAGAGCAGGGGGATGCCCCCCACGATGGCCGGGACTCCATGGGAAAGCCCGCGCTGGAGCAGGCTGTGCCTGAAGGACTGCAGCCCGTGGAAGGAACCCACGCTGGAGCAGTTTGGGAAGAACTGCAGCCTGAGGGAAGGACCCATGTTGGAGAAGTTTGTGGAGGACTGTCTCCTGTGGGAGGGACCCCATGCTGGAGCAGGGGCCGAGTGAGGAGTCCTCCCCCTGAGGAGGAAGGAGTGGCAGAGACAAGGTGTGAGGAACTGACCCCAACCCCCATTCTCCTGCGCTGCTGGGGGTGGAAGGAGAGAAAATTGGGAGCAAAGTCAAGCCCAGGAAGAAGGGAGGGGTGGGTAAAGGTGGTTTGAGATTCAGTTTTACTTCCTATTATCCTTGTTTTGATTTGATTGGTAGTAAATTAAATTGATTTTGTTTCTTCCCCAAGTTGAGCCTGAGTTTTGGCCATGACCATAAGTGAGGAGTGATCCCTCCCTGTCCTTGTCTCGACCCACGAGCTTTTCATTATATTTTTGCCTCCCCTTCCCCCCACAGGGGGGAGGAGCAAGCAACCAGCTTTGTAGTGCTTTGTTGGCAGCTGGGTTAAAACCATGACAAAAGCCTACATACCTTGAAACTGCAAATAAACTTCCCATCACAGAAAGTCTTATGTACATGAGAGAGAAGGGAATTAAAAAAAGAAGCATGCATAAGTTGAGTATTACAAAGATGCAGGATCTCCAACTCACCAGGAGCTTTAGGTGACAAGATAATTCCCCCCCACCCAAAACATCTGCTTGAACATTATTTTTAGCTATGAACATGATCATGACTGTAACAGTTTCCAAGTTGGAAGGAGGAACTGTACATCTGTTCTTTACTCCAGAAGCATGACATAATATGAACATTTCTGTGAAAACGATTTGATGGTCGACATGAAGCCACAGAGGCAGGAAAAAAAAAAAAAAAAAAAGAGATTACTGAAGAATTTTAGGTAGATACCTAAATATTCTTTGGATCAGGCACTTGTCTGCTGAGGTAGAACAACCACAATATAGATTATTCTCTTTAATAAATAGGTCACCACAGCATTTTTTTCCTCAAAAAGGATAAAACAAGCTTTATTTTAACATACAAATCAGCTTTGTGTACAAGGCAAAAACATACCCCTGTAGTGATAGGCATATTGGGTCTCCACAGAGCATGTGTAGCCACTTGCGCTACAGTAATCCTGAGATATGGGAAAAAGCCCTAAAAACCTTTAAAAAAAAGGCCAAAATACCTCCTTTTAATCACCTTTGCTATCATCACCTCCATTTGGGAATTAAGAAAAACATTATACAGCTCTGAGTCAAGAAAACAAATTATCTACAAGCCAAATACCCAAGATACTTGTCTAATTCCCTGCTGTCATCTGGGTATACTAGCAAGAGCACTTGGTAACAAATCAAGAGATGCAAATATGCAAGGTTACTTCATTAACACTGCAAAGCATGTAGAAGAACGGCAAGATATTTTTGCAACCGTCAACACTATTGTCTTCACGAACTGTGCAGTCAATGTGTCAAGCTTACACATCTTACGAACTTTTATAAGTTCTCTACCTTGTGTGTCAAGTTAGTAAAAAAAAAATTAACTTACTTTGCTTCCTGTCACCATGAAGTTATATGCCATATAGAAATATTTTTAAAAGCTTATAAAAGCAGCAGAACTGCAGACATTTAAAGTCCTGCCCCTAATATCAAAGACTACTTGAACACCCTCATTTTGCTACAAGATTGTATTTACCATTAATCAACATGGAAAAAAAGGAACAGCCTCTTATTAGAAAAAACAGTTAAAGATAGGGAAAAGGTATAGATAGGGGTTTTTTTAGTTTTACAACGTATAAAAATAAGTTACACTATATATTATGGCTTTCTCATTTAGGAGAAGAGTGCCATCATGGATTTAAACACTAGATGTTGTAACTAATTAACTCACCGTGTTCTCAGACTTTCCTTGTTTGAGTTCTACGTGAAAAGAAACAACCAAATATTAGTGGGAAAATTAAGAAGCCTCCAAACAATTTAAATAGCAAGAAGCACTTGTAGAAGTCTTTCAGTGAAATTTTTAATTTAATTTAAAATTTTAATTTAATTTTTAAATTAATTTAAAATTGAAGTTTTAATTTAATTTAATCCCTTGGCACAAATAAAGGCCAAGCCAAACCTCCCATGAGCTTCAGCAGAGTCAGGACTTCATGCCGAGCTTCATTTCAAAAATGTTTACATACCAGTATCATACCATTATGCTACTGAAGCAATGATTTCTCTTTACTGTTTGCTATGTTAATCATACAACTAAGATACTAGTTAGATTTGGTATGCAGCTATCTCAGAAAGGCTACAATAACACTAAACCAACAAGATTCAAAACCACAACACAACTGCTCAATATTAAGTGTTGTTCACTACGAATAAAAAGGAAGGGGTGGTGGGGGGGTGCAAAAGATGCTTGAGTCAAAGACCGAAAGAGCGCATTTACACAATGCTATATTACTAATGGCTGAGTACACTTATATTTTGAAGTCTACAGTTGCATTCAAATTGGACAAGTTATGACAATATTCAAATATGTGTAAATAAAAAGAATTCTAGTTTCATAGCTAAAGTTGTAACAAAAGTCTCATTGTGCAGCTGAAGTAGCATTTGCAACAAAGTTCACCAGCAGACAAGCACAAATTTCAGACTTACAAATATAGTAAGAAAGATCATGGCACTGAGTTTTGGAATATTTTCAAGCTCTAGTTTTACTCAGGATTGAAGAGTTGCCAGTTGAACAAAGTTAACTGAATACTGTACTTCCCAGCTCCTTATAAACAAGGCTTCACATCATGCAGAAGATGAGCTTTCTCTCCCCTTTTTCTCCAAGAAAAGTATCCGAAAGGCAAGCTACAGTGATTGTTTCTGACAGCAGTAAAATAAAGCAGCAGATAGAGAAGTAGGCATATCAAAAAATTCTTACAGAAAAAGGCATCCGTCCTGGTTTGATTTTGTTTACAAAAAGGCACTTCACATATTGCTAAAACTCTGATAATGTACTTATCCTTTTAGTTTTTGTTAGAAGGATGTATTTCAAGGCAGTTAGCATGAGTATGCAAATATTCTTTATACAGTGTTTATCTGTTACAAATTTTATAATTACATATAGTATCTTACACCATTTAGAAGAAAAGATTCATGTTCAAAATAATAGCAGGTCTTCATAAAATACTTCAGTGATGAGGGATGATCTGTCTTAAGCAACACACCACCTGTAGTGAGTTCATGCTAATAAGAATAGCAGTGTAAATCTTTCAGAAGTGAGTCCTCAGTCTTTTGTTTTCCTCTCGTAGTCTCTCAATTTCAGCTACTAAGCTTTCATTTACGGAATATCTTTCAAGTAAAGCGTGCATTTCATTCTAGAGAAAAGAAGAAAGTCCCAATCAGTAGCTATAAAGTTAATTATTCCAGTTTTATCCTATCCATTTTCATATCCCTTTTGAAAATTAAATAACCTAGATAATGCTGTTTTTAAAAACTTTTGACAAGAAAACCGAGATTTTTTTTTTTATGCTGACATACAGTATTTTGATCATTAATACATTAGTGAATATTTTATCAAAGGATATTTTGCACTTCTTCAGGATGAGAATCTACTAATGCAGGTTCCATTAAGATGTTCAGTACTGAGAAAAGGTCTTTTTAATGCAGATCAAAAGAACAAAGATTCATAAAAAGGTGAAGTTAAAGAACACAGAACACAGTTCAGTATGCATGCAGTACCTATAAGTGAAGCTTTCTATTTGAATTCCATCTATCTCCTCCTTACCCCAGCTCTTGGTCCTTTCCAAAGTATAGCTGAATTTGTTTCCCTTTTGTCTTTTTATAACTCCTGAAATACGGAATTCATGGTATCTACCCAATGCATATGTTCCCTTTACTTCTCAAGCATAAAACAGTTTAACAGATTCCAAGTCATAGTTTCCCCCTCCTTCACATCTAATCCTCCCTTTCTTGCTCTTAATAAGCAAAATTGACTTTCGGTTTTGAGAGAAGTTGGCATGCCTTGGTATTACTAAAAATGAAAACTGAATGTATTTCCCACCATGCTCTTTGTACATACCAACTGCACATGGAACTGCTTGATCATCTCCACTTGCAAATTCACAATATCTCGATGGCATGCTTCTCTGGGGGAAGAATTGCATAAGGACAGTCCTTAGTTTTATTTAGGAAGCTGTAATTCTCTCCAATCTTCAGCACCCAGAACTTGACAATTCCTCACCTTCATGACATTGTGAAACATGAGTCTAAAAACCCTCAAGCCATGAAACATACTCCTCTACCACTTATTTTCCGGAATACTTTTGTTACGACATTGACTTTCATAAGTACCATTTTTTCAGTGTATAAAAAGACAGGATTTTTTCTGTTTAGAAATATAAATATCGATATAAATGGCAATATCAAGATTTTTTTTTCACTTGCAAGCTGTAAACTTCTCTCGTTTTTACTATTCAAAGCTGATTTTCAGTCCCTTGACCACAAGTACCACAGAAAGATATTTATCTGTAACTGAAGACGCAGCTTTTCAGTACATCACTTTCAGCACTCTTTTGTAAGAGGGCCCAAAACATCAACTGTGATAAATGACACGTTATCCTCAAGCCCACAGAATGCTCCAGGTTAATCTACATAAGATGCAGTGGCAGAGCTGTCCATGAATTGTCATGAATTTGTCAATTCACAGACAACTATTCCACACGACAAGAACCAAGCTTGGAAATACTCTCTGAACACTACACTAATACAAAGTGGTCCAGATGCTGAGGAAGAACAAGGAGAACAGCCCACAGAAAAGCAGGCAAGCTCCCATGCTCTTCCTGAACAGCACATCACAGTGCAACTGTCTGAGGCTGAACACTGTGCTATGGGTACCAACGGCCTGAGAAATAAGGCATTTCTTAAGTAGACGCACACAGGTTTTATTTCATTCTCCTTTCCTAAAACATATAGCAAACCCAAAGGGAATATATTCCTCACTTTCTATTTCCACAGGTTACTGTGCTTCAGAACTCCTATTGGAGGCAAACAATCTTCGAGGATATCGAGCATAGATGCCAGCTGGCAGCTTAGAAACCCAAAGATGTAGGTTATCTCCCAAAGACAGGAAGTTCAAGAAACAAGCAGCTTTTTGGAAACAAATGAGTTATATATGCCTCCTGGTCCTTTTCTCAGGTCCTCGTTTTTTCCCCATTACTTGAAGAGGAATGATTTCAGGCAAGAATGGTAAAATCCTTTCCTCAGATTCCAGAGGGTGAAAGGTATTTTTATCAATGAGAAGCTTGCAATGGCTCCCTTCCCTCTTACTGACCTCAGTACAATCCATCTTTTACATTCAGTTTGAATGTATCCACAATCTACAACTGGAAAAAGGGCCAGCAGAGCCTTCCAGCCACTCCAAGAAGCGTGGGTCAGAAGAGAAACACCATCTCTGAGGCTCCAGATCTGAGATACTAGAAGCACAAGACTGACAAGCACACCTCCCAACACTGGGATACCTGAACACAGACTTTAAAGAAAACACATCTGCAATCCATAGAGTGCACTTTAAGTCATGTGAAAGTTACAGGTTTTAATCAGATGTGTGATTATCGCCAAAAAAGTCCCAGGGGAGTTTTACTAAACTGTATTCTTATTTAAAGACATTTAATAACATTCAATGTCTTTTTCTGTTGGCAGATACAGAACAGCCATAGCACACAGACCTGATAAGCTAGTTTTGCATTGGTTTTTGTCATCAAGTCAGCAACACTTTCCCTGCCCAGCAATCCTTTTCCCCTCCACCATTGCCATCAACCTACTTAATCTTAAACATGGGTTTGGAAGTGATCCCATAGGTACAACTCCCTCAACTGCTCCATCCCCTTCAAACTCCACTCTAAATCCATGCTAATTTGACTTACTTCTTTCATGACACATGGAACGTTAGTTAGGTATCCACAAACACAAAAGTATTCTGACACCAACTATCATTTACAGCACAGACATTATTTTAATGTAAAGCTTCACCAGTAGAAATACATACAGTATTTCACCTTACATAAGCCAAGCTAACAACAATCAAAGCAAATACAAGTCAACTGTCTAGATCAAACTCTCCACAATGTCAACTTTAAAAGAAATTTCTCATGCTGTGACAGGGGATGAGCGGGGAGGGAAACAATCAGCACAAGGCTTCAGGAAAGCAGTAAGGACCTCGTTATGCAGATAAATTTACCATCCGAGAAGTATTCAAACACTCATTCTGAAAACATGTTAGCAAAGCCATGCATTAACAGCCCTCAGAGACATCAGTCTAATTAGTCATTCAGAGCTATTAAAAATAGTTTCATACCTAGATTTCCAAGATTAGGGCTATTAATGGTGTCATTTCCTAACGCAAGTAGAAATTTGTTAAAGCAGATGCTAAGACTTCTTACTAAGAAAACATGCCATTGAAAACAGAAATGTTCTGCATGAATACCAGTACCTGAAGTCATCCATTGTTTCTTGTATCATATTCTGAATGAAGCTTATTTGGATTGATGTCAGAGGTGCATTTGGTCTGCTACTCCCAATGGTTTCTACTATTTTTTCTGACAACGAACTGGCAACTCCAGCAGTGACAGGTGGTGTTACCTTTGGACCTTTACAATTAAAAATAAAATAAATAATTTTTTTTACAAAATCAGTGTAATGGAGTACAAGAGGGGTTTTTTTATTTGTCTTGAGGCTTGTCAATATTTTACCTCAAATATCATCTAGTAAAAAAAATAATTAGATTTAGAATGAGTCTTTTCAGAGGCAATTAGAGATGTTTTAGGAGGGCTAACTGGATTTACAGAAGAATCAAGACTGGATGTTCTGTTTTAATGCTAAGGCCATTTTATCAGGTTTCACATCAGTTCACAATCAACCACGCCTAAAACTGAGCCAAAATGATCAACTTACTTGTTGAGGTAGTACCATTTACTGGTAGATCATATGCAGGATGAGCCTGAATACTCGTCACTAGTCTCTCATTTGTATCAAGAGCCTTTACAGCAGTGGATGGTGGTGGAGGACTTAAAGTTACAGATTCTGCACTTGATGAGCTTGATTTTGAAAGCTGACAATAGAAATAATAATTTTTTAAAAAAAAAAAGGAAGGTGAACTCTACTTATTACAATTATCTAATTGCACTTGAAGGCTAAGTTTTCAGGAACACACTTTCAAACACTTTTGGTTTTAGGAATCTACTCACAAACATATGCTTTTCATTTCCTAGCAAGGCATCTTAAAAACCGATTGCCAAAATATTCAAAATTGCCTAAGTGTGCAGACACAGAAAGGAGTGCAAAAGGCATGGGCCTCTTAGTTTTCATATCAAACATTTTGTGGTGAAGTTACAAACATCATTCCTAGCAAACTCAGACTTCTCAAAAGCAATACAACAGGAGATATGGTCTCAGCAGAAGCCTATCAAAGGTATCTCAAGAAGGAAGAAGAGAGAGAGATGAAGGATAGGGAGAGAAGAGGGTTGAATTGACCTAATAAGCAACAAACAATCATACTGGTGCAACTGACTAATTATCATTCTTGATTTACTAGAAAAATCAAAATATTCCTCAGGCTAGCCTGGTTTTGTTCCTGTGAACTTTTGTAACCTGAGCTTACTTAAGAGAAACATAGCATTTATCTTGCATTGCTGAAGGCTGATGCGCTTAAACTGAACAACATTTTACAGATTTGTGTCAATAGTGTGAACAGAGCTGCAAAATAAGATTAGCTGGGACGCTATTAAGGATTTTTCCTTCAAGTAGTAGTGTTCTGTCAAGATTCTAAAGACGACCACTCATAACAAGAATTAGTATAGTATACCTGCTTTAAGACTTCTTTAGATTCTTGTTTTCCAAGATTTATTTTCTTAGTCTCAGTCTCTGAATGTTCTTCCTCTTCCTTAATTGGAGATCCCACAAGTGCATGTAACGGGCTAGACCGTACTGGTTGTGCGCTACTGCCCACTGGGCTTCTTTTTACTGGAAAGGCAGTGGGAAGCTGTGGGAGAAAATCCAAACCCAAAAGGTAGGGCTGAAAATCCAGACCTAAAATGAAAAGGGAAAGGTGAAACATGCAGGACAAAAAACAAGCACACACATCAAATCAAACCCATACTGAAAACGCCTGTACACCCACACAAAACAAATAAACAACACAACAACAACAAAAAAATCACCCAAAAATGCACCCCACAAAAACTAAATCCTTAAATCCAACTTACCCTGTCACTGTCCTTATTAAAGTAATAAAACATGAAAAGCCTCTATATATCACTATAAATTGCATAAAGGAAAAACAAAATCACTTTAGGACGATACTCTTGATTTCCTGTTACCGTGTTGTGTCTTACCACCTCAATGTGTTAGACAATTTCCAGAAAACTTCATTTCTTTCAGTGTCTGCTTTCATTGTTTGTTTATTTTCAGTAGTATGACAAAATTAGCATGTAAGAACTAGCATAGGCCTCCAAAGGCCTACCACTGACGAAGAAAAGTGTACTGAAAGTATGTTTACCATCTCCTTTTCCTTGAGGATCTTCATTCACTTTACTTGCAATAATATCTACAAAATACCAGAACACAGACAAAACTAAGTGTTTATTTAATGAAACCTACATCAATATTCGTATCATTGCATCAAGTTCATAATCAAAGACAAATTAAAATACCAAGTAGGTACAGCGGTTGGTAACACACAAATGTCAAAATATCATGCTACATGCAGATAAATGATGCTTTACAAGTTTCAGTATTGGCAACTTACCATCTCTGACTGGAGAAAACACATCTCCTAAACTACTTCGACCCAAACCATCAAAATTATTTAAATCAGCACTTTTCCCATGATCTGTTTCTTTAGATGGAATCACATCCAAGCTGCCACTATGGGGAAAGCCTTAAAAGGACAGTAACATTCAGTTAGTAATTGATATTTTCCCAAAATAACATACATTATACGTAAACAATCTCACAGCCAGTATGATGCCTGGTAAGTCCAGCAAGCACTTTAGAACCTTCTACAGATTCCAGTCAGAGGGTCAACTTCAGCTTCCTCATTTGGGCTGTCAATGCAGGTGAATATAACTAAAAGCTAAGATACATACTAACAAAAATAAGATACACTTGGATCCCTTTCCTCTTTTTAAAAAGGAGAGTTGTCAAACTGGAGAATGCACTCATTTTCAGAAAAATCTACACAATGGATGCAGCAAATTTATGGTGTATCAGCTGAAATGAAAACTAGTGAATGCACCTTCTGCTAAGAAAGTAACCACATTCAGATGATGAAAATTTAAACCACTGTTCATAAAACCTGTCCCTACTTCTCTATGTGGGATTACTTGTTCAAGTGATCCAAATGTGACTGTGTGGATGACTACAATTCATCATGTCCAAGTATTTACATAAACTGGAACTTGAGTCATGTTTAAGATTTTACTTTTAAATGTATTAATATATCACATCTTCCACACCTTCAGATACATCAGTTGTGACATATACATAGGATGGCACTTGCTAGTTAAGTAAATACTTGGCGTACTGAGTCAAACTAGAAGTGCAGTGTCAACCTGTGCCAGAATCTGCAGAGGATCTACACAGAAAAAGCATAATATAAAATAGAGCAAAATGTCTTTTGTATATTTTTACCCATTCCCCATAATCTAGATGTAATAAGTACCTAAACCAGAGGATGACTGTTAAATAGAAGTTTATGGGAAGCCAGCTCAAAGTACATCCAAACTTCTCATCACACCCCAACTCCATTTATTCTTTTGTACTTTAAAATACCTGTGACAAAAAGCCCCAGACCATTTATAAGCTGTATGAACAGATTTTTTTTTGTTTTAAATATGCTATCAGATCACTTTACTGAATGCCCCTTATTTCTCTGAAGTTAAACCCCATAATCACGGTCTAGAAGAGCTGCCTCAGAACAAATGTAGCTTGTGGTCTCTCATCCATTCCCATTTTTAAGTTTAAAGACTGTACCTTCTGAAGTATACAGCGGTCTTTACTTCTAAAGTGAACACTCAGTTTAATGAAAAATATTTGATTTACTTGGTAAGCCTTTATTTTCTTAAAACATTTATTTATTATGCATGGTCCTGTTTAATGGCCGTTACCCCTTACATCTTCAAATAAAGATAATAAATCATATTTTAATTGAAATAAAATTTTCCACACCATTCAGTAATGTTGATTAGCAACACTTCTTGCATACACAGGAAGCATTCTACTTCACCTTGTACTTCACTGCATACCCAGGGGAGGTCATTAATACACATCTCTATGAACTGCAGTGGCTTATTGCCTAATTACTGTTGCTAAATGTATTTCTCCTTATTTAAAAAAGGAGGGGAAAGTGCTCTTGCATTAAAACGGCTTCAGGATTCTTTTTCAAGAATCAAACTAACAGTGTTACTGATTTGACCATATTTTCAGAACCCCTGAATTAAATAAAATTTTAAAAGTACATTTCATATAGTGGCAGAATTTTAGAATAATGCTCAGAATTCTTATAAAGAACTTGTTAATTTCAGAAGCATAAATAGCAAGTACAGTTATACAACTAATCATACTTGCAACTATATTTAACATCTTTCCTACCATGTGATGTTGGAATCATGCCTCACACAAAAATACAGTTCAGTTCTTGCTTGGGTTTTTGGACTTGGGGCGGGGGGGGTTTCTGTGTTTTGTTTGGTTGGGGTTTTTTTAGGTGAGGTCTGTTACTTCTGTTTATTAATAGAATTACAAACCATTAGCTCTGCACTCCTTACAGACATTGTGTCAGAAAATACATTATGTACATAAGGACAATCTACAGGAAGTCAGAAAGCAAGAGACAGCCCCACAATATCACCATAGAGTTTTCTCCTTTAAATACATACTTTTACTTCAAGTCCAGAATTTTAGATTTCATGTGTCTAAAGCTTGTAGTAGGACCCAATTCACTTCTCACAGTCTCATGTCTAATGCAGTAGGGGAGGGAAAAGAAGGTGCAGATGTGCACACACGAACATGCAGTTCTTCCAAAGAAATTCCCTTCCCTCAGTGAAATTTTTATACTGTAATGGTCAAGATATGAAATATTCCTTCCATCTTTTATGTTATGCCAAATATGATTAAAAAAGGAGGAAGAAGACACTACCTGTTTTCTCCTGAAGAACATCTCCTCCCTTATTCTCATTCGGCAATGTCAGATGAGATGAAACTGTTGCTGATGCTTGAGAGGCAATGTTTTTGATGCCAGGATTTTGAATTCCTCCAAGATTACTACCAGCTTTGACTTCTACTCTTTTGGAAGCAGGTTTATTTGAAGAACCCGTAAGGTTAGACTGAAGAAAAAAATAGAACAAATTAAGAGAAGTTATTATTCCTTCAGCTAAAAGTAAAAATATAAGCCAATATTCTTTCTGTTTCAAAATACTAGAAAAAAAAATACAGTTCAAGTTGCAAAGGTTGCCTAGGAGATATGCCTTTACAAATATTAAAAAAAGTATCTTAATGTAACTTCAAAGAACGTGGGAAACATCTGTATTATTATATGAATACTGTGTGGACCTGCAAAAGAATAGCAACAGAACTTAAGGTACCAGTGGAGTGACCTGGCACAAACCAATTTTGATCCTAGGCTTAGGCATAGGAAAAATAAGAGATTACATTATCAGGGGCTCCAAATTGTAAAGCAATAGTCAACCACTAACAGCAAGTGTGCTAGAAGAGGAGGAAAGTCCCAGAGCGGTGAAGAATCCACTTCAAAGGTTCTCTCCTTCTCCACTGAATGGACACATGGGGTTTCTGGATACAGTAGAGCCTAATTAAGTCTTGGAAGAATCTCTTAAGCCTTTATTATTTAATCAACTTCTCCATCATTTATATATGGCCTTTTGCAGGCACATATAAGACCATGCAAAACACCTCAAGACGGGCAGCTCTGTGTCTTCCCCTTAAGTGGATGGGCCATGACAGACCTTTCTGCTACTGCCTACAAATAAATCTAAGGTGCCACAAACTGATCTGCAATGGCAGCACATTCACACCAGGAAACTTAAGACTGAAGTCTCACTCATTTCTATACTGAGGCTGGGCACGGGAGAATTCCACAATAAAATGCCCTAAAATGGCACTTAAGACTGAGCAGTTTATAATTTCTATGTTGGTATGAACCATTTTTGTTGGCATCTATAATGCTTAGAAACTGAATGCTAACTTTTTTTTAGAACTTAATGCCTTGCCTTCATTAATCTGCATATTGAGCAATAAAAAGGAATTTTTTTTTTTACCTTGGAAAAAGTGCTACTGAACTGAAGACGTATGCATTTCACACAGCCTTTGTGAGCAATTACTGTTTTCACTGGTGATGTCAGTTGTCTTAAGTCATACTGGCAGATTTTTCCCCGGGAACATCCTATAGCCAAAGTAGTACCATCAGGCATGAAGTCTACTGTTGTCAGAGGAAAATCAGCTACTATTGTTGTCAGTAACCTTCAAACAGGAGAAAGGTGAGGATAAAGAAGTTTTTAGGGTTCAAAAGTTAGACTTTTCAAAACAGAGTTATCTAAAAACAAATATAAAAGCTTTCATAATTCAGCTACAGGTCAGTAGTTCCACTTCTCCAGTCCAAGTAACCAGTGGATTAGGCTTATATAATCACAGAATGTCTCAAGTTGGAAGGAACCCATGAGGATCATCGAGTTCAACTCCCTGCTCCTTGCAGGACTACCTCCTAAAAACTAAACTATATCACTAAAAGCATCATCCAGGTGCTCCTTGAAATCTGACAGGCTTGGAGCCATGACCACTTCCGTGGGGAGCCTGTTCCAGTATACTAAGTGTTTATGCTTAAATTAAAGACTGCATATGGTCAAAAAGATTTCAACAGGACAGGATCAAATTGCCTCATAACAGCAGTTCTGGCACCTAAATTATTTACTAGTATCATCATTTCCAGCAGCAATCATACTACATACATCCTGTAGTTTCCCAAGCCTATCAGCTCTAACTTCCCCACAAATCTAGGAAGAACTTCAGGTCCTAGTTTGCATCCTTCTGCTCCACCCCTCCAAACTAGAGCCAGACTCCTGCTTCTATTCAGCTAAAGTGAAAGCACAGCTCGCACTAGAACCAAATTCCCATGAAACCACTTGCCATCCTACCCTCTTACTACACAGTCCCATCACCTACACCCCATACTTTCTGCTTTTTCAGCCAATGCTCTCCCATATTTAAGGCTCACTATCTCAGCAACTCTGCACCACAGTTGTGTCTTGTACCTTGAACTAGAAAAGCAGACAAGCTAAGCTCAGGTGGGTGCAGGTCCTCACAGGCTGCACTGCTCCTTACAGAAGCCAATTGCTCTGTATCAACAAGAAAAGCCCACACACAAGCACTTGGGAGAGGTCACTCATACGTAGCACCTCAATTAGTTCTCATATGCCTTGGGTTTTTTGATTGTTCATCTGGGTTGGCTTGTTTGTTAAATAAAAAAGCAAAATGGACCTTGGCACAGGTTCTCCATTAGCGATATGCCACCACTTCAACCATTCTGAATGTGGTCTGAATTAAATATTTCATGTCATAGTTAGGCATGCTTTTTCAGTTTATAAAAACCAAATAAGGATCCTATAAAATCAAAGTCTTTAAAATACTCACTTTTTACTTGAAGTGTCATAGAGAATAATTCTTTTATCCAAACCTACAGTTACAAGCAGCAGCTTATTGACTGGAGAAAAGCAGATTTCTGAAGCTGGTGCTTTATGAGTATTTTCAAAATTATGATATGGGTTCTGGCTATTTACATCCCATAGAGTTACATTTCCACTGTCAGAAACACTGCCCAGCAAGGATTTCTTAAAGGTTGAATATTTCAAGTGTCGAATAGGCTGTAAAACAGACATAAAAAAATGAATTGTAGTACCACTATTAAATACCATATTAATTTATTTTATAAACATACATACCACATCAGGAATATAGATGTTACATTAAGTTAAAGTAATTTACACAGGCTAGCCACTCTAAAAAATAAAAAGTAAAAAAAAAAAAAAAAAAAAGGGTCATTTCACATTACAATGCCATTTTTGCTGTCAGGGGACAGACTTTTTGTTTCTAGAAAAGTTTCTTGGTTTGTCAGCAAGTATCATGCCATCTTACCCACTACAAAAAAAAAGACCACGCCACACCTAAAATGGAAGGAGTGAAAAGCTACATTATTTCACTCATTGGTCTCCTGCCAAGAATGTTACACTTAATTCCCCTCCACTGATTTTAAGTAGTTGGACATAAGGCAATTTGATAAGACACACAGACTCCAGAGTTATGAAAGTACGTACGTCCTGCAGAAGAACAGACTTCACCCTGAGAGCTAGGACCACAGAAGAGGGTAATATGCCTGGTTTATCACAGGCAGCCTTGCTATCGCAGAACCATGTAATACAGGAACTTAATTTGCCTTTCAGAAGCAGGTAAGTATTTTGTTTCCACCATCTTGCTTCAGAGGATGTTTCAGAACCTATCTGCTCTAATACTAAATCACAATACTCAATTTCCAGATTAATTTTGTTGATGACTCATTTGCACCAATTCACCTCCCTGACAACAACACCCTTACACTTAAAATGTTTCCGAACTCCCTAGTGCTGCTTTTCCCTGTTTTAATCAACAGCCACCTCACCTTCTTTCAGGCTTATTTTGCTATAAACAATAAGCAAGACTCAGTTTCCTAAGACTGGTTTTTCAGTACCATCACAGTTTCTTTGTAAATCTCCCAGCTTGAATCTTTCCTGAATATGGACAACCAGAATCTTGTAACATCATAAAACAATTTTGCTACTGCCTTACAAAGGCAGTAACACTTCATCCATTTTATACTTATCCTGACCTATCCTAGACTGCATTTTCTTTTTTGTGATCCAGCCTGTTTTGGTTGCTCATTGCCATTTTATGATCAAGAAGCCCAAGTCATTCTTTCCCTTGGGAATTTTCAAATCCTAGTCCAATACAAAAAGCCTCACTTGTGACCTAAGCCTGGTACCTTGATTTCTATACTATCATTGTTGTTCTCGGATCTATTATTTCAATGATTTTTAGATAGTCACAGTCCTCTCTTACAGGCAAGACCTTCCAACTGTGTCTCATCATAGCTCTACTTCTCATATCATAACCATTACTGAAAATATTAAACAAGATTAACTACTGATAACCCAAACAAATACTGTTCTTTCAATATTACCTACTGTCTTCTTTCCTACAGCCTATTTCTTACACATCCTCAAATCCTTTCTAAACCTCCATCTTCTCTAATATTTTCTCACAAGGCACTGAATCAAATGCTTTACTCAAGTCCAGACAGATGAGAGCCATTACATTTTATTTGTCTGAAAATGCTCTCAAAAAGCTATTATGTTATTCTAGTGTAATCCACAACACAATGCACTGTACTGGATTTTTATCCTGTTTCTCTCTTTCACTTCATTTCAATGGAGATATTTGTTGGTTCATATGCCTCCAACGTAATTTCTAGCACTTGTATTGCATGTCTCACTGGAAGCCTAATTGCTCCACAAAGAAGCAGCACGCTCAACTGCATATTCAAACAGGACAGAAGATGACTGTTTACAATTAATATGGTCCTCTAACTGGATACAATGGAGACATTTTTATCAGCATTTTTCAGTTTATTTACATTGAAGCTGTTATTCCTGATTGTCTCAATATTTCTTTTTTCAATTATATACATGAGCTACACGGGAAACATGCCTGCTCCTCAGTTATCTCACTTCTTCACCTCCAGATACCTTCCTTACTGCCCTGGCATCTGCTCATGGTCCATTTTCTCCCTCCTCTGTTCTCCTGCCCACCACAATTACTCTCTCCTAGCTCTCCTCAAACATCCTTTGCTATCCTGCCAAGTCTCCCATTTTCTTTTCTCATTTTTCCTTCCAGTCTCACAGGCCCAAGGCTAGTTCTCAATTGTTTTTTCATATATATACCTTCCCCATACTACATATGTTCCCCACTTCTCATTGAAGTCATGGCGCTTCCTCAGAGCAGCTTCACAGTTTAATTTCAGGTTGCCGATGAAGGAGGTACGAGGTGTGGAGAAAATCCTATTCACTCCTTACTTTCACTGAATTAGGTTAGCAACAAACTTCACTTGCAACAATGCAATTGTTAGATCAGACTCAAGGAATGGAAGCGCCTAAATCTGTGCACACTTTTATGAGACAGCCAAATGCATCACATTGGCGTCCCTGACAGTATGCTACATGTCCAAGTTTCAAATTCTTGCCCAGACAGCTGGAGGCACGAAAGAACCTCATTTCTGAAAGGCTGCTTGACAAGACAAAACCAAAACATTTCTCCTCCCAGAGTGAGTCACTTAAATTTGAAGTTTTCTACAGAAAATACTTTACCTGAGAAACATCTAGGTGAAAAAATATAGCCTTAAGCTTCACACAGTTAGAAAGAGCAGACAACCAACCCTCATATGGGAAAGCATCAAGGATTAAGATGCAGGTGGTCAAACTACATCACTTGCAATAAGTCTTAGCTACATTTTCCTTGTTTCCCACCCCATCCATAATCAAAGAGCAAATTAGAAACTGTATATTCGAATGAGATTAGGCTTCATCAAGTAGCATTCTGTCTTTATCTTTAAAATGTTGACTTAACTCTACACGAACTTTATAACAAAACAAACAAAAAACCAACATGCTATCCAGCATTCACTGGAGTGAAGTTAAAATACACATACGACCACTATGAAATCTGACAAGTATACACAGAAAAATATCTTTTTTGTGACCCAGTGCTGCAAGGGAATGGGACTCCCTGTACAGGAAGAGATGAACTATTACACTTGATCAGATGTTGGAGCTATTTAGTCCTACACAGTATGAATGAAAGTGTTCGATACTGAAGTTCTGAAAAAGGTAAAAGGGACCCCTCCTCACCCACCACAGGAGACGGATCCAGGATAATCTAATGCTAGGAATAAGTCTCTTCCAATCAGTTAAAACCAAAACTTATCTCCTTTATAATATTCCTTTTGTTGTAATTCTCAAGTTACTTTTCCAGCCTTCTCCCTCTGATTACATTTATTGCCAAAGACAATGCTAAAAATCAAAAATCATGATGATCAACTGTGTGTTCAGAGAAAATTTTTTTTGTTTGTTACGTTTATGTCACTGAACATTATTGTTTAACTGTGTATCCCTTTATGTTGTTATTTAAGAGGTTTTCTATTTTCTTCAGTTCCTTTCTTTTCTCTTTACCAGACTTCTTACCTACTTCTAACCCCTCTGTACCTCTGTCAATCCTAATTCTGTAAACATTTTTGAGCTGTCATGCATAATATTCTAGATCAGATTCTATCATCTATTTTTAATTTCATGTTTCTTTATCTTATTTCTTATATTTTCTAATGTTTTTGTCTATCTTAGTGACAAGAAACTAACACGCAGTCAGTCTTCACCAAATAGTCTTAAAAAAAAAAGTCAATTTTTGCTTGGCATGATGAAGTCACACAGACCTTTGGTACACTCCTAGTCAGGTTTTTCCCCCTGAAGAAGCTGAACTTCATTTGTCATTTCCTGTCCCTTTTCTTAAGTTACAGTTTAGAAACAAAAGTTCTGTTACTCGGATTTTGAACACTAAGGCCTCCAACGTAGCCTAGATGAAAACAGGCCCAATACAGTTCCTTGGCCTTTGTACTGCCAGCAATAGGAATCCCAAGCCTAAAATGGGCACACAACCCACACGGTTTAACTGCAAGGTTTACTAGTTACAAGAAAAAAATTAGCTAAGGATGTGGGAGACAAGTTAAACATTGGTACTTTTCTGAAAAGAAGCCCAAGAATGTTTACAGATTACAATTTCATCCACAAAATCAAATGCCAAAGGTGTAGGACATGTTTCATCGGGAAAAATCTGACTAGGCAAGCTTAAGTATCTTACCTGAATTGGATCTAGGGCAATATTTAAGATACTTGCTTTATTTTAAGTCAGCATAGCTGTTCACTAGGTGAAACTCAAATATACATAAATAAATATCTGAATGGAAGTGGGAAGGGGTCATTCGTTTTCTAATTATTTTAGTCATTAATACGAAACTCATTTCAAGATTGTTAGGAATGATGCAATTATTTGGAAGGAGTCATGTTTTGGAACTAATCTGTCAAAATTGAACAACAACAAAAAAAAGAGGCAAATATTAAGATGTAGTGAAACTTGCTTCAGAAGTACAACTCCTGATGATCTCTGGAAATTCTGCACACAGAGAACTACCAGAAAACACATTTAGCGCAAAGTGCTGAACCCACAAAGAGAAAATTAAGTCCTCTTTGGAACACTTTACCAGTCAGTGTAGCACAAAAAGCCATACACATCTTTTTGCCTTCGCAGTGATTGGAGTAGATTTTCTGTAGAAAATAAAAGTACATTTTATCTTTAAGCTTCACAATAAGACAGCTGAACAAGGAACAGTGCACTTCAGAAAATGGTTGGTCTGTTGCTGAGAAGGACTAGCTACACTTAAGGCCTTTCACCAATGGAAAGCAAGAGAAAAGCCCAAAACTAAACCAAAAGTAGTCTAGCATCATTGATTACCTTATTTAAAGATAGTACAGTTTCTTAATCTCCTTTATACCTTGGTGAGCCTTATAAGTGAGAAGGCGGATGTAAACACAGTTGACAGTCTTCAGCTTTTAAAGCTATTTCACTATATGGAGTGACCAGAACTCATCACACTTCTCCACAAATTAGCCAGCTGTTCAAACAACTAAACTAAATCCTGTTGCTAGGAGAACAGCACCAGGCAGTGAAGACTTGAACAAACATTATGTTTCGAAACAAACCTTAATTCATCTTCACAACAGCAAGCAGATAAGAATCTGGTAGTCTAAATGAATACCAACAGCAAAGACAAATTATGGGATCTGCAAACAGCTCTGTGCAAGAACTCAACTCTAATAAAGCACAAAGGTGTTTCTAAAACAAAATCAATTAATAGAATATAGGCCAAAACTCATATGAAAAGAAAATTGTTTATAGTCACAGAAAACACTGCAACCTTGGGCTCTTCTACTACTTGTAGAGTCTATACAATATCAGAAATTAACTGGCAAGGAAACTACATTCCACCATGCTCAAACAGAGACAAGCTAAATTTTATAAGGTTAGTTTGACCTCACATTCCCCAGTTGTAAAAAAAGTTACTAGGGAGTGGTGACCCTTACTAAGCCAGACAGCCAGTGCCAGGATCAAGCAGGAGAATACGCTGTGTATCTATTCAAGCTTACTCTTCAAAAACAGGGCCCCTAAACTATAAATCGAGTAAAGGCTTTTTAAATTTAAACAGAATTACACAAGTCTTCAGATATTTGCTTGACTGCACAATTAATCCTGCAATTCTCTACAAGTACCAGTTAAAACTCAAAACCAAAAATAAAGCTACTTTTGCACATAAGAGCAAAGATAATTTTTAGGATATAAGATAAGCTGATAAACTGGGACATACAAGTAGTCATCCCAGTACACAATTACAACTCAATTCCATTTTAAATTAAGGCTGCAATCAAATAACTGCCCCCCTTTAGAAAATGTTACAGGCCCTTTAGAAAGTGAACAGTAGCTCTGTGCTTGCAATTACTTTGATTTAACACTTCAAATATCCTTATCCATCTTAAAGGTCAATCAGCTTTACAGTAGGCCTCTTGATTTCATCTGCCAAAATAGCTATTCACTGCATCACTTATTCCTAATCACTTTTTGGTGGAAAGACTTGAATATATCAAACAGGTTGATGCAAATCATCCTCATAAGAATTTTTTCATCTTCCAATTAACTAGCAACATAGCCCCCACTCTGGATATTCACCTCAGCTGTGTAATCCAGCCATGGATATCCCTGTACCTCCTGCCTCACATCCACATTTTTCATAAGATCATAACAATCAAATCAGAAAAATGAACCGACTATATAGATGGATTTTTAAGATCAAACCAGGTATGAAGTACAATTTTGCTTCAATATAAGTATGAGACTATGGTGATGGATCAAAGACACTGCAGCACCCAAGAGCAGAGACAGTTTGAATTTAACAGAGATTTTTCAACAGAAAGTATACCACAATTCCTGTGATACTATAAAGTTGTAAGAGATTCTTCATCAAGTTATATTGTTCATGCTAGACAGGAGAATAATTTAACTTTATACTCTATCTGCAATCTAGGACTGAAAAAGCTGCTGCAGTAACAGAAAATGAGTAAGTCACAACTTCAGTATTCCCTGCAATATTAAAGGTCAGGTTTAGGACCAAAGCAATGGTTCTGCATCCCCTAGGCAGCTCTTGTCACTGTAAAAATGACTCAGTAAAAAATAAAAGAAGGCCTAGAACTCAAACACTTGGCTGTGCCTAAGACAACATTCACACTAAGAATTGCACACTGGAACTTCCAATGGGACAACACAGCTCATTTACTACTGCAGATGCCCTTATATCAAGGGAATTCCCCTAGTGATACCCACTAATTCTCCAGTATCTTTTGAGTCTACAAGAAGGAATTCCAGTGGAAAAACTCTACCAAGGCCCTTAAGTAGCACATATGGTTTGTGTTTGTCTTTTGCGCAGTTTTCCTTCAAACTAGTTATCCAAAATCTTGCCTAAACACCTCAGTAGGTAATATAAAATCTCATTGCTTTTCAGTTTGAGCAGCTGTGCAATTTTTATCTCTGGATTAAATAAATTTATTATTTCCAAATGCAGGCTTATATACACCCCTACTGTACAGATGGCTCTGTTCAGGTGAACATTTGATTACTTTGGGTAAGTCAGAACACAGGCTACATGGTCTTTGTTCTTTGCAACAATATACATTGAGTTGTGCATTGAAATCCTGCTCTGGTTTGTAAAGCCAACTAGTTTTTGTTCAGTTTTAAGATGTGTAGAAGTTTGTTCTTGAGGAACCAGAGTCTACAAAGTAAAATTTGCTGTAACCTGTACATAAGTGAAGGTACTTGAGAAATTTGTATTTCAATGTTACCTATTGTTTAAGACTAGAATACACACACTGGTCTAGTTTTTTCCTTTCTGTAACTGCACTCTTAAAAATTAAAAGGAAACAGATTAACAAACTTAAAAGCTTTTGATATGTACTTTCAATTTCTAAACACTGTGAACTAAAGCTTCATACCTGAAAGGAACTTAATACAGATAGCCTACCTGACGGCTGCCATAACCAAAGGGAGTACTTGATAAATTGGTGGTAACACTGTGTAGGATAATTTCACCACTCAAAGATCCAGAAGCAATGTAGCAATCATTCCAATTATATGTAATACATGTGACTTCATCTTTATGATCCTGTGGGGGAGAGAGGTTAGAGGGAGAGGGTTAAAGACATTCAGGATAACCATATTCCTTCCTAATCCATGCTTTTGCAGAAAATTTCAGTTTGATGGTTTTTTTTCTGACCAGCTGTAACATTTAAAAAGATTATTTAAGAGTTATTATGGAATATCCCAGAAAATAGCAGAACACACTGAAGATCAGCCATTATATTTTAACCACTGTGTGATTCTTTTCAGAAGATTGTTTTAATAAATTAGTAAAGATGATGCTGTAATTATATATAATATTTTAATGAGAGAACCATAGAGGCATCTACCACAGGTGTCATTAACGTTATTTTAAAATAGAAATAACGAAACCAGTGATATTTGAATAGACTTTCTGGGAATCTGATGTACTACTGCCAACTTCCCCTTCTGTCACTTTTACCATTAACACCTATAATTACCAAATAGCTTTTTAGTATAGTCATTTGCAATGATGATATTGTGTTTACTGAATATACAGGGGAAGACAATCGAGTACTCCTAGCCCAAAAAAGGAGAAAAAGATATTTAAAGTATTGTATTAGCTACTTAGTAGTTTTGTTTCAAACTGTAACTTTAAAAGTCCAAGAAAAAAAGAATAAATGAAAGCTAAAGTTTTATAGCCTCTTTAACAGTGATCCTAAATAAGGGCAAATCATCTACTGAAGGCATTGTGGAAATATACTAGACCATCCTAAGTTTTGTGCATCACAACAAGGTTTTAGAGAATTCATACTGGATCAGTTAGAAGACAACAACCATGTCTCAGTTTTGCATAACATTAGTTCTACTACAGTATTCTACAAATACAAAAGTGTCTTGTTTGACGTGTCGGAAACAGCAATTATCCGAAATGCTGCCCCTGGAAAAAATCCCCATCAGAAAGTATCAATACAAATTCGCAAAATAAGAAGCCTATTCTGAAAATTTAAACATACTTTATTATAGAATTGTACTCCGTAGACATCAAGTTAAGTATGCTTGTTAAATTAAATTTGCTATTTACAGCACATAAAGAATGCAAACTTGAACAAGACACATATGTGTGCTAGCTCCTATCTGTGAACTTGATCCTACAGATACATGACTTAGAGAAAGTTTGTTTGTTTTGTTTTTTTACAGTTGGCAGCAAAACCTGTAACTCATGAAAGCTACAGCTCTTCCTCAGCCAAACTTACCTTAAGGCTACGGTAAACCCTTCTGGATTTCAGATCCCAGATATTAACTGTGTTATCAAGGCCTCCACTCGCAATATATGAAGAACTAGAATTCAAGCTCACACATGTCTGTTTTGCCTGATGGAGAAGGGAAAAAAAGGTATGTTAAAGATAATGCAGGGATTTATTCAAATCTACTTAAAAGCATATTGATGTGTGTTTTCATCTTCATTAACACAAATAGTCCCACTGACCAATGGAACCATTGCTACCCTACAGTCAAAAGGCATTTAAAATCCAATCTAGTTTGGACATATGTTTAATAGACTTTAAGATCTAAATACATTAATTAATAAACTCTCAAATGCTCACATCTTCCCATTCCAAATTTTTTTAGCGCCTTTTCCTTCAATATGCATTTTCCCTTTAAATTATAGCTCCCTAAAGTGCAATCATAGACTTCTATTCAGGTACTGAGTTTTAAAAAGAAAATGCTAAGTTTAGAAAAAAACTCCTTAAAAGAAAATCAAGAAGTTGTCTAAGTCATGTACTTCACATTCCCTAAACATTACAAAGAATATTATAGCAGCAAACCTCATAATTCGGTAAAGTGATTCTTTTTAAAATAATCACTGAAGTACCAGCTTTTGAAAAAAATGTCAATCTTAATGATAGATCTACATCGAGGACAAATTATTATTCAGTTCTATCATGTTGAAAATTCACTTTTAAGTTCCTGAGATTTGAACTAAGAAAAAACAAGTCCATCTAATTATTGACATTGAAAAATTGGAAATGATTGCATCAGTTACAGATCAGATTTAGTGAAATCTCCAGGACAAGCATTTCACCTTTGAAAGCATTTGCTTCAGCAACCTAAAAGCTGGGTTTGAACACCTTTTCTGAAAACTTCCAGTCCAAATTAGCATTACAATAGCTATCCAAGGAGAACAATTAGAATGGTTTAACACTAGCAAATCATTCAAACAACCATGACAAGAGACTCTTCTAAAACTAAATCCAGCTTTCTGAAGAGTTTATAGTGCCACGCTTCCACTTAACAGGAAAAAAACCCTGACCATAACAGAAGTGCTACTATTTCACATATTTCCAGAAGCTACTGCGTGTGCACTCCAAGAACAACCTTTAGATAGACTCTTAAGTTTTTCAATGTATAATGCACAGGCATGCATAATACTGACAATTCAAGGTGGAAAACGAAGTTCAGACTTGAGCTCTGTTCCATCGCCTACACATTAGATCAAGTTCAAACCACTGCCTGCCTTGGGCTATCACACTGTGGCTCAACAGGCAAATTCCCCTAGGAGAAAGCTACCAGCATCAGAGGCTAGTACAACTGCATTTGTATTCTCTTACTGGTAGAACTATTTCAAAACCACTATTCCCCTCACTCTTTATATGTATTTAACTATGCACAAAAAAATGTTTTTACATACGTGTCATAACTCTAACAACAGTAAAATTAAATTGACCCCAATATGCAGAACAGATGTAATACAAACAGTACACAAGGTGGAGTGTGGGGGGGTAAAAACAGGAACCAGCATTACTCATACTTACTCCTTCAGCTATTTCAAAGAGCGGAACAGGTTTGCTTTTACAGCTTGAAACAACTATTTTATCACCAGCAGCAGAAGCAGTGGCCAGGTATCTATCTTAGTCACAAGTTATGGACCATAATTGTATTATACTGGTGATTAATAAAAGCAACAGTAAGTTTCCCCTACCGAACAGAAGACAGATTGGCTAAACAGTCTAAAGTACTGTACCTTGAAGGGACCTAGAAATAGAAACATAAGGCTATTTTCCAAGCTTTCATTAAAAAGCTCTTGCATTAACTACAGCCCTTACTTCCCAATACAAGGAAAAGCAATTTCTTTCAGAGAGAAGAGAAGAAATATCTGGCAGATATTATTTAAGAGCTCTTCACCACTAAGGCAGCTTATCTGCTTTACAATTTTGTTTCCCCACCACTCCCAAGTAAGAGCCCCATTTATCACTAAAGTTCAAAGGAATGTCTGTTGCTGTTAGCAGACTATGGATTTAAAGAACCTGTTGGTGACAAACATTAAACTATTTCACTATATAGTTTCTCAAGTACAATGAATGTTTGCTAATTTGTCTCCCTCTGTACTGGGGGGAGAAAAACAAAACCCCCAAAAAAGAACCTTTTACAACACCAGCTCCCTCAAAGTGGTAAGAAAAGCCTTCAATACAGAAGTACAGAGCAGGGAAACTGCCTCTGCACCCCCAACAAATGAATCAAGTAATCATTTAGATCCACGTCCTGTATGTCTTCAGGAGAACGCTCATTGTGATTTTATATTTGTTTATTTAAAAATACAGGTTAATTGGCTGGACTTAACACTAAAGAACTGGTAGGCAGATTAGTGCTTGCTATTTCTTTCGTTATTTTAAGGCACCATTTTAGCTTATAGAATTATGCAGTACCAAACCAAATGCTCTACCCCTAACAAACATTCAAAAGCATATAGGAGTAAGATCGTTCATTGTTGCAGTTTTGGGGGATGGAGAGAAGACTAGGCAGAAGAAAGCATCACAAGACAGACTGTCTATTGCTAAAGTTTACTAAACAACATATATAAGTGTATGTATGTATAGAAATACTATATCTGTGCTTCAATTTCTTTGCAAGCTCCATATCTAAAACATTCATTTGTGCTCTAATTATTTTAACTTTTCTCTCTTACATCCACTTATTTGCAGACTTAGAGGACAGAGATTCAGAACTTGCAGAACCTAATTGTTAGGTGCCAGCATCTTGTCCTTCTTTTACATCAAGATCAAACATCACTGCCTGTTCCCATGACAGTCAAGCTGTTCACCTGACAGTCCATTGTTTTCATGAAATTGCTCATATATTTACCTAACACCTAGCACCTCATATCACTATTCTGTAATAGGCTTCCAAGAGAGGGGTGAAAGGTCTAAACAGGCCAGATCCATTTTCATGCATAAATCACCACCATCCTATGGATGTTTTCCTACACATCCAACACATTTGTGCTTCCTCTGTAAATGCTACAAACAGCGCAAAGAAAACCAGGGCCTACAGAGAAAGAGGCAAGTGTACACTATCAAAGACTATCAGAATCAATGAGAAGCTGTTCAAGGAAAACAAACAATCAAATCTTTCATTACAGTTTTCCGCTCTACACTATGTACAGAACTTTACTACACGAGCAATTGTTTTGTTCAACCTTGTCAATAAATTAAGCACTGCCTTGAAAGTGAATATTGTAATCAACTATCGAAGAAACAAATGAGTAAGCTTTACAGTTGGTAGGCAATTCAAGCATATCATAATCATTAAAAAAGTGTTAGCCTCCTAAAGGAAGAGAAGCTTCTTCAGAAGCATTTACCAGCATGAGTTCATTTTGTAAATCACTTCAGCACAGAGAACCACAACATTTTCTTCACAATACATACAAATCTTTTTATACAAGACTTCAAAACTGTATCAGGCCTGTGATTTACAGACACTTTAATAAAAAAAATTCACTGAAATTTTGCAGAACGCCCACAAAACTATGGCTGAAACTGTAAAGGATACTATTGCTGGCCCAACATAGTGAGCTGACTGGATGCGGGGGCGTATGTGGGTTGAACTGCTCCACCACAGTTAGAGATGAGGAATCCCATATTTTAACGTCATCTCCTGATGAAGCAAAACGTATGCTTTCTTGCATGGCTGCACCTGTTTTTGCAAAAATAAATAAAAAATGAAAATACATATAAATAAAAAGTAAAAATATACAACAAGCAGCTTCACAAGTGAAAAATAATTTCCCGTATACCATTTAATATTGTTTTCTTGATAACAGGGACATTTAATTGGAGAGTTACACAATTAGTACCGTTCAGCTGAATATACTACTGAAAGCAGCAGACACTCCGCACTTTTGTTACTTGAATTCTTGCAGGAAAGGTATGCTTTCCTTTTCACAAAGGAAAAGCCAGCCCCTCTACGGTATCAAGAGACTAAAATGATGCTTGTATCTCCACAGATTTTACAGCTGCCTAACAGGAAGCCGTGAGCATCTCAGGGACTCATTTCCCACCAGCAGATGGAGATACACAAACCAGAATCAAACCGACTGTTGGGACGGGAAGGCTGAAAGTTTGGAGCTAAAGGACTCACTTCAGCGTTTATCTCACCGCCTTAAAGGAGTCATCCGAGAATCCTTTAAACTAAACCTTTAACGGAAGAACACGGGCGACAATGAGTCACCTTTCAGCGCAACTTATACAACATTAAAAAAACAAAAAGACCACCAAGGTACTACCATTTCTTTGGACCGACACCGTTTTAAGAGTTAAAACCAGGCTAATCGATTCCAGGTGTGTAAAGTTTATTCTCAACTTTTAACTCCGGGTACTTTTAAACCAGCAACAAACAAGGACTCAAAAGGCTTTCCTTCACCTGAAAGCAGAACCACCCTTTAGCCAAAAGTTTCCGGGACGCTTCCACACAGCTTTGGGCCACGAACTCTCACTGCCGAGAACATCTGAGAGGCGCACAACACTGAACAAAACTCCCCGGGACGCTCAAGTTCCACAACCGCCTCCCTCGGCCGTTACCCACGCCATCAGCCCTCGGAGCTGCTCCCCGCTCCTTCCCCACTCCTCCCGCCTCTCACGGGCCTTCTCTCCCCGCTCCCCACTTTCCGCCCCGGACGCCGCGGGACGAGCCGCTCTCCGCGCCCCACGGCACCGACAACCGCCCGGCCCCGCGCTCCCGCTCAAGGCGGGACCCCGCTGCGGCGTTCCGGGCTCTCCCTCCACCGCCGACCGCCGTTAACCCACCTACCGAGGCGGGCACTGGGCCGAGCCCGAGCCCCTTCCCCTCACGGGCCCACCGGCGCCTCCTGAGGGATCGGGGCCCTTCCTCAGGCGCCGGCCACGGCGATTGGCCGAGGCCTTTCTGCTCCCAGTTCTCGACGGGGTCCGCCCGCCCTTCGCCGGCCAATGAGCGCCGCCCTCAGCCGCGCGCCCGCCCTCGCGGGCCGCTTTGCCGCGGCCCAACTTCGCCACCCG